TTACATATACTTACATCTCAATTTATTTCCTCTTTTTTCCAATGTTCCTCCAAAGAACCAGATCTGTCAGACTACATAGAGAAGCCATGAAATTCACAAGCAAGTGGACAATTTTAACCGAAAGGAAGAAAACATGGCTACTGGCTACCAGTAGTAAAAAAAAAAAAAAAACCCTCTACAATCATAACAGTAAATAAAGAACAGCACAGGAGAATTCCAGACAAGAAACAATCAAGGCTAGCTAATCACCTCCCAAAAAAGAATTCCTTCAGACAGTAAAAAGCCAGACCTTGAAACTGTTGGGCCATTAAATGCTAATCAATATGGCCAATTGAAACACACATAGTAAAGGTAAAGGTTTTCCCCTGACATTAAGTCCAATTGTGTCCAACTCTGGGGGTTGGTGCTCATCTCCATTTCTAAGCTGGCATTGTTTGTAGATACCTCCAAGGTCATGTGGCCGGCATGACTGCATGGAGTACCGTTACCTTCCTGCCAGAGCGGTACCTATTGATCTACTCACATTTGCATGTTTTCGAACTGCTAGGTTGGCAGAAGCTGGAGCTGACAGCAGAAGCTCACGCCACTCCCCGAATTTGAACCTGCGACCTTTCAGTCAACAAGCTCAGCAGCTCAGTGCTTTATTTTATTTTATTTATTTATTTATTTTGTATACCGGTCTTCTCACCTCCATTCGAGGGACTTGGGCCGGTTTCCAGCATCAATATTACAGACCGTAATTAAAATATCATATTTCTAAATCACACTAAAACATTAAAACATTGAAACAATTAAAATAGCAAAAATACAATCATATGACTACAGTGGTCAGTCGTCATCAAAGTCATTATTCGTCGTCATCCATCCATATCACAGGATCATGGCTCATTTGTTGAATGCCAATCCCCAAAGTCAGGTTTTCACCTGTTTCCTGAACGTTAAGATCGAAGGGACAGTTCTGATCTCCAGTGGAAGGGAGTTCCAGAATCGAGGGGCCACCACCGAGAAGGCCCTGTCTCTCGTCTCCACCAGCCGCGCCTGTGAGGCCGGTGGGATCGAGAGCAGGGCCCCTCCAGATGATCTTAGTAATCTTGATGGCTTTAACCTACTGTGCCACCGGGATCTCCTTATACCTACCTCCAACAGACAAGAGTTCTTTTCCCCATTCTGGACATTCCACAGATATATAAACCCCATTTTCGTAGTTTTCAACAGACCTCACAACCTCTGAGGATGCTTGCCATAGATGCAGGTGAAATATCAGGAGATAATGCTTCCGGAACATGGCCATCCAGCCCAGAAAACTCGCAACATCCCAGTGGTTCCGGCCATGAAAGCCTTCAACAATACCAGATCAAACTATTTATATGGCTATTTGTAAGGTGTAGGGATTTGTAAAAAGACACCATGATGTAATAAAGTTACAGTTACTCACTGCACAAATCCGAGTGATACATTTGTTATACTGCAGAGTATATTTTGGTTAAAAAACATTGGTAAAGTTTCTATTTAGTTACATCTACAACCTCCCACATAAGGGCCCTTTATTAGTGGTTTCACATTTTGAAAGGAGATCGTACTTTAGTCACCAGAGATTCCCACTGACTTATATTCCCTATCCCATTCCTTATCCCTTCCTCCTTAGTGATATTGTGCTAAAGTAATACAGCCTTTTATCACTTTAGCATATACCATAAAGGTAAAATAAATGAATACCTAAAATAAATAAATACCGAAATAGGAGCAGAAAATATAAAATTGAGAGCATAGACACTGGGAGACAAGGATATGGAGAAGTTATTGAAATCATTGAAAGGATGGCTGGAAACCACACCATGCTTCAAAGCAGGATAAAGTAGTAGTGTGGGTTGCAGGTAGTGTTCAGATCTGCTATAACCAGCAACCAACAAAGCCAAAATTCTAATATATTAAGCATGACTGGATACAGGGGTGGAAAAAATGATTACCATCTCAAAACCCCCAAATTCACCAGAAATATTGGTTAGTCTTCCCCACTTTGGCAACCTACTCTTAGGAAACTATGGACCAAGTACCCTTCACCACTAGGATACGTGCAGTAGTCGCAAATCTGCCATATGCTTACTGTCTGTCATTAAGGTTGGCAAGTCAGGATTGTACCAAACCTTGAAATTTTAGGACCCTAATAATAATAATAATAATAACAGCAACAACAACAACAACAATGACAACAACACTTTATTTGTACCCCGCTACCATCTCCCCAAGGGACTCGGTGCGGCTTACATGAGGCCAAGCCCAAACACAACAATAAAAGCAATAATAACAACAATACAAGCAATTAAAAAACATAGACGATAAAATATACAACATTATCAATAAGAGAGCACACAATTAAAAACAGTGGGAAGGCCAAATGTAGAGTTAAATTGGAAATAATGCTGGGACATGGACAAAAAAGTGATAGTGGTGATTGTGGAAGGGCATACGAGCAGACCTAAAGAAATGTAAAGTGCTTTGGAGGACAAAGTGCTATGGGATCATTATTCCGGGAAGGCACACGGGAACAACCACGTCTTCAAGCTCCTCCTGAAGACTGCCAAAGTTGGGGCTTGTCTGATGTCTTTAGGGAGTGAGTTCCAGAGTCGAGGGGCCACCACGAAAAGGCCCTCTCTCTCGTCCCCACCAATCACGCCTGCGATGCTGGTGGGATCGAGAGCAGGGCCTCTCCGGATGATCAAAGGTATTGCATGGGTTCGTATACAGAGATGCAACCACGCAGGTAGGCGGGTCCCAAACTGTTCAGGGCTTTGTAGGTAAGAACCTGCACCTTGAATTGGGTCCGGTAGATGAATGGCAACCAGTGGAGCTCCTTGAACAGGAGGGATGACCGCTCCCTGTAAGGAGCCCCAGTTAACAATCTAGCTGTCGCCCGTTGGATCATCTGAAATTTCCAGGCCGTTTTCAAGGGCAGCCCCACATAGAGTGCATTGCAGTAATCCAGTCTAGAGGTGACTAAGGCGTGGACCACTTTGGCCAGATCCGCCTTCCCAAGGTACGATCGCAGTTGGCGCACAAGTCTTAATTGTGCAAAGGCCCTCCTGGCCACCACCAACGCCTGAGCCTCAAATCTGACACTCAATGACACTTTTGTTATGTCACAGGAAGGGGGTTCTGGGTACAAGAATGTTACAAATAGTAGACCCTGATAATGTCATCAGGCATCAAAAACAAATGTATAAAGTATGCTATTTAAATAAAAACTACAAAGTCTTTAAAATGAGCTGTAAACACGCATATACATTTTAAGCCAGTACTCTCATTCCAAAAAAAGGATCCAGCATCTGAGATCTGATAGTCCTATTTGTAATGACCTCGTGAGGAGGTCAGATTGGGTTCTGTTGTAGTACCTGTAGTGGTTTGAGTTCTGGAATACGGCTCTGGTTGCCTTGTGGAAGTCACATTCTCTCAGCCTCAGAAGAAAGCACGGGCAAACCCCCTCTGAACAAATTTTGCCAAGAAAACCCACAGTAGGGTCTGAAACAACTTGAAGGTGCACATCACAAACAACAACTTAAATAAGCACAGTGAAGAAGAAAGAGCATGGCTAGGCACACAGCCAGAAGCTACCTTTCCCCTTAAGAACCTAGTATTCTTTTTTTTTAATATTTTTATTGAACATTTTGCACATCAACACAAGGAAAGAGGGAGAACAATAACAAAGAGGATAGGAAAGTAGGAATCCCCAATACCCCCCCAAAAAAGGAAAAAAGGAAAAAATCAAAGGGAAAAGAAAAAAAGGGGGGGGGCACAAAAAACAAAATAGGGCCCAAAAAACAAAAAACAAAAAAAACAACAACAAAAAAAAAGGAAAAAGAAAACACACCTAAACTATTCTAAAATGACTTCCACTCCAGCCTCGGGATCTTCTCTCATTTCTTCTAAAACTAACTTATATTTTCTTAACCTCTAATGTTTTTCTATATTTTTCTTTTCATAGTCATAGAAAAAAGTCCAGTCTGTTCTCTTTAATGGTTTCCCGGTATTTTTCTTCAACAAAAAAGTTAATTCATCCATATCTCTTATTTCTATAACCTTTTCCCTCCATTCGTCCATAGTCGGAATCTGTTCATTTTTCCAGTATTTGGCAAAGATAATCCTTGCTGCCGTAGTAAAATATGTGAGTAATTTGTCTTCATTCTCATCCAATTTTAAGTCTGAGTTCGTAAAACCTAGTAGATAATATTCCGGCTTCTTTTTAAACTTCCTCTTGAGTATCTTTTGTAGTTCTTCATGAATTAATGACCAGAACTTAGATGTTTCTCTGCATGTCCACCACATGTGGTAAAATGTGCCGGATTGTTCACCACACTTCCAACATTTGTCTGAGACATTTTTATACATGTGACTTAATTTGTTTGGGGTCAGATACCATCTATAGAACATTTTATACCAATTTTCCTTCAAGTCCATAGCATAAGTATATCTCAACTTTTTGTTCCATATTTGTTCCCATTCTCTAAATTGAATGGGCCTTCTCAAATTTTCCGCCCATTTAATCGTACACACTTTCACCTGTTCAGTTTCCGTGAGCCATTGTACCAGTTTATTATAGAGTATTGTTACTACTACATAAAGGGAAGATGGAGATTAAACCTTTTGAACAACTTAAGAGCCTCTTTGGTAATATTACTTGGTTACATTATTTACAAATTAAAGAACATTTTAAAGAAGATAAAAAAAAATTGGTTTTGACTGGGAGGAAAACACATGGGATAAAATATTAAAAGCTGGAAAGAAAGTAGTAACAAAGAACCTAGTATTCTAAATTAAATATACTCAAGTAAACACAGCTGCACAAGGAAGACAAATTGCAGGACCCATTAATTGTTGAATGTATTCCATTAGCATGGTTTTGATTGTGAGTATTGGGCTTTTTGGAGAGAAAACAGCTGCTACAAAAGTATAAAACCATCTTCTCTCATTCTTGTTACCATTCGTTTTCTGGTCTTCGGTAGTGCATGTTTGCTGCACATTATACAGCATCATTTTTTGTAAGTAAGATTTGTAGATAATGGACTTTGGTGTCTTTAAGTATAGTGCAAAGTTTATTTTAGAGTGTTTAAGGGACTGCATATGTGATGACTTGAGAGTTCTGGGAAAGTAAGTAACAAGATGTAAAACGTGGTGCTAAACATCAAGTTTGTGGTTCACTGAGAGCTTTGACAAGTGGTTTAACTAAGAATTTGTGGTTATAGCAAAAGGAACAACTTGTAGAAAACAACTTTTGAGTAGAAAATAGAAGCAGACCGCTTATCTTTCTGTCACTAAAAACTTGCATTTATTATGTAGAGAAGTAAAGGCAGTTGTAAAAATAGTCTTTCATTTAATAAAGTACTTGGGCTTCATAATTAATTTACAATGTATTGGTGTGTTTCTAAACTATAGCTCAGAAGTGTTATTTATTCATCCCACCATTGGGTGTTCTTTCTTATTATCTTGTTCTACAGACCAGCCAAGTATATGTAGTTAAGACAATTAATCACCTGTGTAAAGCAAAGGAAGGCAACTTTTAGTTCAGATGTTGCTGAAGTGCAACTCCAATCTGTTTTAGCAGCATAAGCCCTTTCTACACTGTCATATAATCCAGATTATCTGTTTTGAACTGGATTATATGAGTATACACTGCCATATAATCCAGTTCAAAACAGATAATCTGGATTATATGACAGTGTAGAAAGGGGCTTTTGAGAACCATCGATTCTTCAGGTTTTCTGTGTAGTTTACTATAAGATCTATAAAACAAGGATTAGAAACTGGCACAATCAATTATAGAATAAAACCACAGCAACATAATATCAAAAGGCACTAAAGACAGTTATTAATATGCCTTGGAAAATTATAAAAAATTACTCTAATGCTGAAACTACTGTAATCGGTTCTAGGCTCTTTGCAGGATGCTAGTACCAAAAATATCCTCTTTTGCCTACTTCCCGATGCCTCATTAAACACGCCTATCTGGAAGGGGGTGATTTTAAAGTCTGGATAGGCAGTTATTAGCTGCAGCTTCACAACAATACTCATATATTGTCAAAGGCTTTAATGGCTGGAATCACTGGGTTGTTGTAGGTTTTGGGGGGCTATATAGTCATGTTCTTGAAGCATTCTCTCTTGACATTTCACCTGCATCTATGGCAAGCATCCTCAGAGGTTGTGTCCTCACAACCTGAGGATGCTTGCCATAGATGCAGGTGAAACGGCAGGAGAGAATGCTTCTAGAACATGGCCATATAGCCCAAAAAACCTACAACAACCCAATACTCTTATAGACTTTATCCTTTAACAGCCAGAATGACGCCTTCCGTAATTCCACATCAGAATTTTGAAGGACTGACACTCCATGGCATTCAGCAGCACAAAAGGAAGAAGAAAACAACATATTCAGAATACATGTACAAAGCCCTGAAACAGGTAAGTGTCTTGACAAGTATCTTCCAGCTTGTATCATGGATCTGTTTGAAAGGTTATGCTTTTCTCATGCTTGTTCATATTTTGTATGGACTGCCCTAGCCAGGCCCGTAGCCAGGATTTTGTTTCGGGGGGAGCTGAGTTTGATTTGGGGGGGGGGCTGAGTCTGAGTGAAAGAGGGTCTACCCTAGCAAACCTTTTGTATCGTTACCCCAATACCCCCATGCATATGGGATATATTGAGCATGGTGATCAGATCATGATATGAATAAACATAACAGTTTAAATAATGTACCAGTAAGGCCTTCTCACGGACCACCATGAGAATTTTGGGGGGGGGGGCTGAAGCCCCCCAAGCCCCCCCCCCCCCCCCGGCTACATGCCTGGCCCTAGCCAATAGTATGTGATTATGGAAAAGATACCCCAAAGGCAGATTCCACTTGATCTTGGAAACTAAGCAACACTGGTTAGCATTTGGATGGGAGCCGGCCAGTGAATCACAGGCGATGTAAGCTATGTCCGCAGTTTGGGAGTCCTCTTGGATTCAGCACTTACGCTTGAGGCTCAGGCATCGGCGGTATCCGAGAGGGCTTTTGCATCTTGACAGCATCATCTTTTAAGATTTTAAATAGTTCAGCTGGGATCCCGTCGTCTCCTGCTGTCTTGTTGTTAGCAATGCTTCTTAAGGCCCATTCAACCTCACTCCTCAGGATGTCTGGTTCTAATTCATTCACCACACCGTCAAAACTATCCTCAATATTATTATCCTTCCTATACAGATCTTCTGTATAGTCTCGCCACCTTCTCTTGATCTCTTCAGCTTCTGTTAGGTCCCTGCCATCTTTGTTTCTTATCATACCAATTTTTGCCTGAAATTTATCTCCAATGTTTCTAATTTTCTGGAAGAGGTCTCTTGTCCTTCCTATTCTGTTGTCTTCTTCTACTTCCATGCATTGCTTATTTAAAAATAGTTTTTAAAATAATTTTAAATAATTTTTAAATAAGCAACGCATGGAAATGGAAGAAGACAACAGAATAGGAAGGACAAGAGACCTATTTTTAAATAATAATAATAATATGTTTCAGAGGAAAATATTTCTTGCCTGAGAAAAGCTTATGAAATTAATGGAGTCACCATAAATCAACAAGCAACTTGAAGGTGCACACACAACACACACACCAAATGTACTTGGACTGCCATGAATTCCCCATCAAGAGTGGAATCAGCCAGTGATAGCTTGCCTTTATAGTTCAGCCTTCTCCAACCTGGTGTCCTCTCCAGATGCCTTAGCTAGCAATGCTTATCATGGAAGCTTTAGTCCAACTTAGGAAGGCTGTTATTTTGTATAACTTTTCATTCAAATTTGCTAATATATATACCTTATATGACAGGTTCCTCAAGGCACAAGTAAACACTGCTGGGCATTAGATGCACTTCGCTCCCTGAACAAACCTCACCTATATGGGATGGTGGCTCAGGAAGCCTCCAAGATGTCACACTACAAGAAGAAGCCCTTCATCACCAGTAGAGAAGTTCATGCAGCAGTGAGAGTAGTGCTTCTTGTGGAGGCAGTGAAGAGTGGTTTGCTCACAGCCAATGATATGTCTTCCAGACATGTAGACTCCACATAAAGAATGTTTCTGCAGACTTTATGCAAGGTGGATTTGAAGTATATATATCTTTTCACTTTTTTGTATAATAAATGTATTTGATAGCAAATTTATTTATTTACTATATTTGTATACCGCTTTTCTCAGCCCTTGGGCGACTCAGAGCGATTAACAATAGCAAAATTCAATGCTCAAAAACATCATAAAACAGTTAAAAACAATTAAAACAGTAGCATACCATCAATATAAATCAATAAAACATCTCATTTGCATCTCATAGTTAAGATCGAAATCCAGTCTCATCCAATTGTTCCATATTCCTATGTTTGTTACACGGCCTATTCAAATGCCTGCTTGAACAACCAGGTCTTCACTTTCCTCTGAAATGTCAACAGGGAGGGGGCCGATCTAATATCTGTAGGAAGGGTGTTCCACAGCCGAGGGGCTACCACTGAGAAGACCCTGTCTCTCGTCCCCGCCAAACGTACTTGTGACGCAGGCGGGACCGAGAGCAGGGCCTCCCCAGACGATCTTAACACCTTAGCTGGTTCATAGGAGGAGATGCAAATGAACTATCTGAGTTTTTATTGGGAAAATAATAAGAAGAAAAAGAACCCTCTGGCACAAACCAGTAAAGGTGGTCCCAGTGGTGACTGGCACACTGGGTGCGGTGCCTAAAGATCTTGGCCTGCACCTAAACACAATCGGCGCTGACAAGATTACCATTTGCCAGCTGCAAAAGGCCACCCTACTGGGATCTGCATGCATTATTCGCCGATACATCACACAGTCCTAAACACTTGGGAAGTGTCCGACGTGTGATCCAATATAACAGCCAGTAGAGTGATCTTGTCTGCTGTGGACTCATCTTGTTGTGTTTCAAATAATAATACACTTTATTTATATTCCTCTCTATCTTCACAAGGGAACTTAGAGCGAATTACAATATACATATATATAGGCAACCGTTCCATGCCATTATGATGTCATTATCTACATAATATTTGTGTAAAATAAATAATGCTTTCTAATAATGGTTTGGAATAAAACCCTCAAAGATGGCAATATATTTAATTTTATCCTATAAGGACAAAGGAACCATCCTAAGTTGGGAATTTTAAGTTGTTTCATTATACAGAAGACAATCCATTAACTGGCACTCATAGGTATTGGTAGATTCCGGATAAATGTAGGTTCAGGTTCCTTGAGAGCTAGTATTAAAAATAACCCTAACACAATACCCCCACACTGTACCATAAACTCTGTAATAATTAAAAGTAAGTAAAGTCAAACCATTAAAACTATTATTTAAACTATTTTAATAGTTTATTGAGAGTATTGGTTTATTGTGTTCCAGCAAATAGAGAGTCTACTGAATAATAAGGAAATATATACCTGGCTGGATGGTCCCTGAAGGATAAGTAACCAGAGTACATCTGACACCAGATGTCACCTTTACTGAGACACATGCTGTTGATTCTGACGAAGAGCAACCAAAAGATAAAAGGAATAAAATAATAAATTAAGTAATAAAAGAAAAAAAAGCCACCCATTGATGAAGAGCAAGGGAAATTCTGGATTTACCTGGTGGACACCTTTACTCAGGATTTTGATACTGATTATGGTGAACAGTAAATTAAAGTAAAAAGAAAAAGGTTACATACAATGTTGGTTAAAAGATTATAGGTACCAGAAAATGAGTGATATGAGTTATTAACAAGGGCCATCAAAAACATGAAAAATTATACTGTTTTCATCTGATTTGTATATGCCATCACCAAAATATGCTACTGTTTAGATTAGCAGAGGGAACAGAACACAGGTTAGCTTTTTCTGGAAATCCTCCAGATTCTAAAACTTGGAATGTTTTGTTGTCCCCCTTCTCCATTTTTGCCTTTGACAAAAGGGGGCTAGTTCCATATTTAGCTCCTGCTGAATTTTTCTGAAAGATCTGTTGTCTGTAGTCTGAAGTTTGACAGGGAAAAATGACAAGGATCAGGAGGAGGAGGCAGAAATTGTGACAGCAATAACAATTCTTGGTTCTACTCCTTGGCAGGGGGTTGGACTGGATAACCCACAAGGTCTCTTCCAGCTCAATGATTCTATGGGTCCTTCCACACAGCCCTATAACCCAGAATATCAAGGCAGAAAATCCCACAATATCTGGGATATCAGAGTCCACACTGCCATATATTCCAGTTCAAAGCAGAAAATGTGGGATTTTATTCAGCTGTGTGGAAGGGGTCTATGACTCTATGATCCTACTTGTGGACTTATACACATCCCCTATTACAGTGGTTTTCAACCTATGAGTCCCCAGTTGTTTTGGCCTACAACTCCCAGAAATCCCAGTTTACCAGCTGTTATGATTTCTATATTGTCAAAATATTCGTATTTGTTGTGCTTTGCCATTGGGATCAATAATGTCCTGCTGTGAAAGTATTCTACCGTATAACATTCGCTTCTTCATTCTATTGGGTAATGAAAACTTAAGGAGCTTTAAGAAAATAACAATGACAGCAGAAAGCTATTTGATTACCAGTGATTCTCAACCTGTGGGTCCCCAGTTGTTTTGGCCTACAACTCCCAGAAATCCCAATTTACCAGCTGTTATGATTTCTGGGAGTTGAAGGCCAAAACATCTGGGGACCCACAGGTTGAGAACCACTGATATAGAACAAGTGAATGATTCCTTTGTGTAATTTAATATGTGTGGCCTATGTTAGTCCTTACACTTTGCTTAATTGCACAGGATGTCTTGCTGGAAGGCCAAACAGCATGATTAATTAATTGAAGAGACATCTCTAGAAGAAACCGACAGCAAACTTGCTTCATGCATTATCAGAAATAATTATATTGTGTTTGCTTAGGTAAAGTGGTATATAGCTGCAGTTTGGTTTATAATTCCCTATTTTGATTTTTCCTGTGTTTATTCACTGCAATAAATCTACATGTTTTTTCCAAGTAACTAAAGATCACACATCCTTGATAATATAGTTAATTAAAGTATCTTGTTATAGAATTATAATTTTGATTCTGAAGAAGTTATAAATAAGAACTAGTACTGACAATACCTTTCAATTAAGGGACTACTTTCAGGAATGTATGGAGAAATTTTATACCCTTGTTATCACACAGCTTTATTTATTTATTTACTATATTTATAGCCTGCCTTTCTCAGCCATAAGGGCAACTCAAGGCGGGTTACAGATTGGCACAATTCGATGCCATGCATTAATAAACGTACAATTAAAAACAGTCAACATAACAATATAAAAACATATATAAAAACCATTAAAACATGTATTCACCAATGTCATCTCGTTAAAATCGTTTTCCAGTAACATCATCTGGCAATTCCATGTTCATCATTCATAGTTCCATGTTATCTATTCCGCTGCATTCTTAAAAGCTTGCTCAAAGAGCCAATTTTTCACCTTTTTTGGAAAGTCAGGAGGGAGGGGGACGATGTAATATCCCTGGGGAGGGAGTTCCATAGCTGGGGGATCACCACTGAGAAGGCCCTGTTCCTCGTCCTCGCTAATCGCGCTTGTGATGCAGGAGGGATTGAGAGCAGGGCCTCCCCAGATGACCTTAAGTTCCTAGATGGTTCATAAGGAGAGATACGTTCGGACAGGTAAGCTGGGCTGGAACCATTTAGGGCTTGATAGGCTAAAGCCAGCACTTTGAATTGTGCCCAGTAGGTGTTATGTTCCATCCTTTTCAGTTTTTTCAGTGATTTTCACCTGATAGTGAGAATAAGATATTTGAATCAGGCCATCCTACTAAACCTCTGCCCTTCTTGACTAGTAAAATCTTGTCAAAGTGGATTCACACTACATTGACAAACACATGTTGGTGCCTCAAATGTTAGCCCTGTTTCTGAGTATTTTTTACTTGCCAGTTCCAAAAATTACAGTACTTTCCCGCTATCAACTCTAGCGATACAGAACATATGATGTCCACCAGTTGCCATCTGCTTACCCATAGAAAACCATGATAGCCATATATAAGAAACTACAGCTGATACCTTCTAGCCAATGCAGGTTTCTGAACCAGCACCCTAAAACCCCCAGGAACAGGTCTAAGAACCAAGAAGCCAACAAATTTTGTTTTTGTTCAGCTGTATTATAGGTTTTGTGCACTTAAAGCACCAGATGGAGTTCAGGCTTCAAGATAACATCCATGAGATAATCCCTCTTGACAAACAAGGTAAACTGACCCAACAAGTTTCTCATCAAAATTGTGATGGCTTCTGAAAATAAACTGGAATCTCTTGCTGGTCTAAAATATTATAGCTAGACTGTCAACTCAGAATAGATGGCATGGTAATATTATGCCAGTCCTGTTGTCTGAACTGCCAAATCATTTCTGGGCCCAAGTGAAAATGCTGATTTTAGCCTCAAAAGCCCTTCCATGGTCACTTCTACACTGCCCCTCTATCCCAGGATCCGATCCCAGATTGTCTGATTTAAACTGAATTATATGAGTCTCCATTGCCAGAGAATCTGGAATAAACATATAATCTGGGATCAAATCCCAGGTCACAGGGACAGTATGGAAGAGGCCTTTGTCACTAATCAGATCCCGAATGGCATAATTCAAAGCTGATGTTCAAATGCCCCTTGCAATGTCATGGAGACGTTTTTGTAGAAAAGATTTTACATTTTAATCTAATTTGGTTTTGTATGTATTGAATAATAGAAGTGATCAGGCAAGGAGCTGGTGGAAGGAGCTGAGCGAACAGAACGTTGAAAGTGATTGATGGAAGGTTTGAAGGGTGTTGAATAAGATCAGTGAAAGATAACACTATGTAACAACATTTAAAAAAATTCTATTTCTGGGTTGAAAGTGTTATTTCCTGTTTAATTGTGCAGTACTTACTTTGAAAGTACGGTAGTTGTTATACTTCAGAAACTTAATTTTTATAACTATGTAACTACGTTGAATTGGTTGAGACTCAATGAGATATTCATTGGAAAACTAGAGCAAAACATGCTGCAGGATGTTCAACAAGAACC